GGCTCGAGCCGACTCCCCAAAGTGGGGCTCGGCTCGAGCCTGGGCTCGGTTCCACCGAGCCCGAGCCGGGCCCGGCTCGGGCTTTTTCCGAGCCGAGCCCGGGCCGTCCGAGCCTCCGAGCTTTTTTGCCACCGCTAGGCACCATTGAATTAGAGCCTGTTTGGGAGGGATTTTTGGGGGAAGAATTGATTTTGAATAGTGATATGATGGGAAATGCGTGGTTGAAAAAGAAGAAAAAAGTATTGATATGATGGAAAATATTATTTTATTGAAGAATGTGTGGTTGAAAATGAGAATTGATTTGAGAATTGATTTGAGAATCAGAAACAAACATGGCCTTATTAAGAACAATAATTGATGTTAGTCCATTGTTTCAATTTCCAACCTCCTCCTACCTTGACCAAGTCTGTTGTCTATAAAATAACTTATATTCAAATATTTTTAAATAAAATTAATCTTTTGAATTTGTATTGACTTTTCTACAAGATGCAGGAGCCACCATTTAGTTTTCTTTCAGCCCCGCCCCACGGTTTAATACTACCTGAAGTGTTATATACAATTCTGCTGCAGGAAGTCACATCACATGGATGCGGTTCAAGGAATTGTTAAAGGAGTTTTCAAATGTCTAGGCCCAGACTTGGAGGACAACTTTTACGCTCTTCAGAGAAAATTAGAATTGCTGACAAGTCATAAAGATGATGTGGAGGAGGAATTAAAATATTCTGGTGGAAAAAAGCGCAAGCGAGTGGTTGAAGATTGGTTGAATAATGTTGAAGACATAATAACAGAATTTGAAACCTTGCATCGAGAAGTACTATGCTGCAAATTTTATAGACGACAAAATTTGACTGAAAAGGTTGAAATGATGACCAAGGAAGTGACTGAGCTTCTTGAACAAAGTGATTTTCCTAACGGGCTCTTTCATGAGTTTGATGTGAGTCTGAGATTTCGTCCACATGCTTCATATTTGCGTAGATTGTTCAGGATTTTACGGGATGATGACATCTCAAGGATTGGCATTTGGGGACTGGATGGACCAAGCGAAACAACTTTATCAAATAACCTCTCCAATGAATCCACATTCTTTGATCATGTTGATCATGTCAGAGTCTCTCAAGAGAGTAGCATTTACAAATTGCAGAGTGACATTGCACACGCTTTGAAACTAGATTTCTCATGTGAGAATGACGAGGGGAAAAGGGCAAATATACTCTCCGAGGCATTCAAGAGAAGGGGGAGATCTGTACTTATATTGGATGGTGTCAGGAAGCAAATCAATGTAGGAAAGATTGGTATTCCTATTGGAATGAATGGATGCAAGTTGATCATAACAAGTCGATCGAAAGAAGTTTGCCGTCAGATGGATTGCCAGAGGATTATAAAAGCGAACTCAGCTCTGAGCAAGAAGCGTGGGAACTATTCTTAAAGAAATTTGGCAGTGTTAAACTTCAAACATAAAAGTTAAAACCAGATTAATGATTTTGACTTTTTTAGTGTAGAATCTAGATCCATCCTAAATGTACATACTTCTTTAGCATTAATGAAAATTAAGGCTGTAATTACAACCTTTTTCGCGGATTACTTTGCCCCTCAAATTAGAGGTTTGTTCTAAAAGCTTTGTTGGTTTAGTTACAAAAGTTGATAAAATTTAGGTCAAAGTCAACCATTAATTTTAACTACATGTCTCATGAGATCGACTACTTGTTTCAACTTTTTAACCATAAATTTAATCAAAAGGAATTCAACAAAGATCACATAACCTATAATTATCTTTCGGTCTCTTATAATGTCTATGTTAATTATTGCACAAGCTAAAATTATACATCACTTCTCGGTTTCAGTATTATCCCTAAATCAATTAATTGTTGCGCAAATAATTAAAGCATTTTAAACACACAATAATTAATTTACAAATATCAAAATGACATGAAAATCTTGAAATTAAACATATAATAAAAACCTTAAGTTACATCATCAATTCTAACAATAAAAATATTTAATCACTTATAACGTTGAAATTAAACACGCAGACATGACCAAAAATTGACGAAACGTGAGTAATTCCAATTTATTGCTCCAGCTCCAATCAATTTCTTCTCTCTGCTGCGTGAATAGGTGCACTAAATAATAATTTCAGCCCCTTCTTTTTTTTTCCACAGAAGCCGTCGGTGCGTGTTGTGTGTAGATATATTTGAAGAACAAATCCTCATGTACACGGGGGCCTTGTAATATATGTATTGCAGCCAGTAAAAACCCAAGTTGAAGCCCTCTAAATTCCAATACCAAATTAAATGAATTCATCTCTCCAAGTCCTCAATTCTTTTATGTAATGCAAATTGATCCTGAAAAATAATTTTATTTGTGCAGCCCATGCCAATTTAGTCCCCGTACTTTGGATTTTGCTAGTTTTCGCTATTTTGCATTCTTTTCTTCAATTCTTCGTTAAACATGAAGTTTTATCTGCAAAATACAATTTAACATAAATTATGTAGAATTTAATTTAAAAGATAATAAAATATCATGATTTAGCGCCACGAATAAGTATAAAAGGATACAAGAAAGGAAGAAAAACAACACCTAAGCTGGAGTTTGATCAACATGGTCTAATTCCCTTTTTAAAGGTTGTCTGTATCACAAATTCAAAATAGCTCAAAAAAGAAAAATATGGACAGAATTGAGAAAAGAATAATGGAAAAATATAGTGAAGCAACATCGAAAATGCTAGTTACCATTGCACATCAACTTCAGCCTGCTTTGCAACTAGGACAGCAATCAAAAAAAAGTTAAAAAAAAAAATTGCAATGATGAGCAAATATTGAGGACTTAACTCAAATTAAAATATGACGTATCAAATGAAAATAGGACCTCGGTCCGAAATTGTATGCAAGTGGGATATGAGAGAGGAGACGGCCTTTTCTTTTTTCATTTTATTTTATTTTTAATTTCAAAAATGATTGGTCCGCCAAACAAACTACAATCTGAGAAAGGAAATTGCCGCGAAAGAGAAGTAATATTTGGTAAGAATGCACTTCTTTATCAAATAAGGATTAATTATTCATGTTTTTCACAGTCAAATTTAGAAGGCAAATATTATTCCAAATTAATAGTTTGTCCCTAAAATGTTAAACCACATAATACAAACTGCATATAAATAGCATTATTCGATAATATACAGGTGTTCTCCCCTACCAGCATTGTTCCATCTCGACTCTTATTTTTTATTTTATTTTATTTTTGTGTTTAAATTTAAATCGTATTTTAAAAAAATAAAAAAAAAAGTAAACAGAGCTAAAAGGAGCCCCACCTCGATTTCCAAAAATCCCCCACCAGCTGTCATTTTCCTTTGAAAATATTAAAATAGAGTAATTATATTGTCGTCACAATTTTTATTTGATACACCATATTTTAATTTTAGTTAAGTCCTCAATATTTGCTCATCATTGCAATTTTTATTTTTAACTTTTTTTTTATCGAATTTTTATCTTCAACCTTCCATTAATGAGTACGTCTAGTTCTTGATTATGATTTATATAAAAATATTTTACTGTCATACTTTGAAATGAAGAAAAAATATTATTTAGCACTTTTATTTATTTATTTTTTAAAAATATGGTTAAAAAAAAAAAAAAAAGTTGTTTTACGTTATTTTCACGGAATTTGGACATAAAACTGTCATTACATGCAAAACATTTTCTTCCCACCGACAACTCACGGGGGTTAATTTATTTACTTTTCTATTGAGATGCGGGACCCACCACATGTGAGTTACAGCAGCAAGAAGCATAGGATTCATAAGCAAATCCATTAAAGATTGGACGCGTATTAAAGTTTCTGATTCTGTTGCTTCCGCGAAGTTTCTTCTTCATTTCCTTGGCTTTTCTTCTTCGCCAATGTTGACTTTATACTGTAGTAGTATTAATATATAAACAGAATCCCGTGTTCATTTCATTACCTTACTGAGAGTTTAAGCAGAGAGAGTTTATTAAGATTACAGGATTATCTCCATTTGTTTTGAGCTTTCCAGAATTCGATTGAAGGTATTTGAGTTTCATTTGATTCAACAATTGCTTTTCCAACCACCTTGACCAAGTCTATTGTCAATTTGGGGCATGACTGAAAGTTTTTACTGGCACCATTGAATTATTAAGAACAATAATTGATGTTAGTCCATTGTTTCAATTTCCAAACTTGACCAAGTCTGTTGTCTATAAAATAACTTATATTCAAATATTTTTAAATAAAATTAATCTTTTGAATTTGTATTGACTTTTCTACAAAATGCAGGAGCCACCATTTAGTTTTCTTTCAGCCCCGCCCCACGGTTTAATACTACCTGAAGTGTTATATACAATTCTGCTGCAGGAAGTCACATCACATGGATCCGATTGAAGGAATTGTTAAAGGAGTTTTCAAATGTCTAGGCCCAGACTTGGAGGACAACTTTTACGCTCTTCAGAGAAAATTAGAATTGCTGACAAGTCGTAAAGACGATGTGGAGGAGGAATTAAAATTTTCTGGTGGAAAAAAGCGCAAGCAAGTGGTTGAAGATTGGTTGAATAATGTTGAAGACATAATAACAGAATTTGAAACCTTGCGTCGAGAAGTACTATGCTGCAAATTTTATACACGACAAAATTTGACTGAAAAGGTTGAAATGATGACCAAGGAAGTGACTGAGCTTCTCGAGCAAAGTGATTTTCCTAAAGGGCTCTTTCATGAGTTTGATGCGAGTCTGAGATGTCGTCAACGTCTTTCATATATGTATAGATTGCTCAGGATTTTACGGGATGACAACATCTCAAGGATTGGCATTTGGGGACTGGAAGAACCAGGCGATAACCTCTCCATTGAATCCACATACTTTGATCATGTTGATCATGTCAGAGTCTCTCAAGAGAGTAGCATTTACAAATTGCAGAGTGACATTGCACAAGCTTTGAAACTAGATTTCTCATGTGAGGATGACGAGGGGAAAAGGGCATATATACTCTCCGAGGCATTCAAGAGAAGGGGGAGATCTGTACTTATATTGGATGGTGTCATGAAGCAAATCGACGTAGAGAAGATTGGTATTCCTGTAGGAATGAATGGATGCAAGTTGATCATAACAAGTCCATGGAAAGAAGTTTGCCGTCAGATGGATTGCCAGAGGATTATAAAAGCGAACTCAGTCTCTGAGCAAGAAGCTTGGGAACTATTCTTGAAGAAATTTGGCAGTGTTCAACTTCAGACGTAAAACTAGATTAATGATTTTAGATTTTAAGTCTAGAATCTAGATCCATCTTAAATGTACGTGCTTGTTTTGTTAGTTTCTTTAGCAATAATGAAAATTGCGGATGTAATTACAACCTTTTTTGCGGATTACTTTGCCCCTCAAATTAGAGGTTTCTTCTAAAAGCTTTGTTGGTTTAATTAAAAAAGTTGATAAAATTTAAGTCAAAGTCAACTATTAATTTTAACTACATATTTCATGAGATCGACTACTTGTTTGAACTTTGTAACCATACATTTCTTCAACTTTTATAAAAAATTACTAAAATTATTTTTAGTAAAACTAAAGGACTGCAGTGTGTTGGTTCAAAAAACTCACAAATGCG